AATATACTAAATATACTAAAATATACTAAATAGCTATACTAATAAAATAAATACAAATAAGAATAAAATAAAGTAAAATAATAAGAAATTATTAAAGTGAAGGAAACTCATGGTAACACCGCTATTAATAAAATTTTTAGGTACATGCTTAGTGTTTTTTTAAGTTTTTAAGATTTTTTTTTAGATTTGAATCAATTCCCAATATATTATATACTTAGCAATAGATCCACTATTGTATTTGTGATTTTTTCTAGTCATTATTTAAATAGCGACAAATTTGCAAACTAATCATCACTCGAATAATGTGAGCTTTTTGATTCTCAAGTTGTGAACATTCTATTTATTACTAAAACGTTTTCTATTTCGAAGGAGTATAGCGACTCTGGATACAAAGCGTAGCAGAGCATAGTTATCTGTTTAGTTTTCGATCATAAAACTGCATAACGTAATATCCCTTAGCATGTTTTTTACATGTCCCAGGTACAGAAGAAGTTAACTTACTACAAACCTTATATAAAATATATTTTTTTGCTCTCCAATATTCATGGCACCCTTCAGGTTTTCGACACTCACGTCCACAAGTGTATTCTCCTCGTATTTCGAAAAATTTATATAACTGAATTAAATATTTTAATTTAAATAAAAGATCTGATTATATTAATAAAATATACAGGATACCAATATAACACTATGGTAAAAAAACTCTATTGTCCAGGATGTGCTAATGAAATAAAAACTGGTAAGACAAGAGATCTTAATAAACACATGAATTTAAATGGAAACCTTCATAAGGGACAATGCCTACCAGCTTTGCATTTAATGCAAAACCCAGTTTCAACTCCAGTAAGAAATCTACCTATTCAAAATCCCACTGAAAACCTAACCCCAGCACAAAATCCAATACCAACTTCTGAAGGTAATCTCATATTATTCGATGAAAACTCACCAACACTTCACCTGAGAGTATCAAGTGTGCCAGCTGTCAACCCTGGAATAGGATCTAGTTTAGCTAATAAAACTATCTTAATTCATAAAAATATAACAAATGGGTTTGAATTTTATGATGAAAAAAGAAAATGGTATGGTGTTAAAGAAGATTTTTATGCATTATCTAATAAGTACTATTTTATTAAAACAGATCTAAAAGAAACAACTATAGAAACCTATGAAAGAATTATCAAAGAATCAAAAACTATTGCAGAAAAAACAAATGATCAAGTCGATATGTAAAAATCAGGATATTATATATTAATAAGTTTAAAACTTTTAGAGAAACTACTTTAGCACTTAAAAAAAGTGAAAAAGTAGATGAAAAAGAAAATGCTTGGTTAAATTTAGCAACAACAGGTGCTTTAGTATTTGCTGAAAGAT